TAAATAAAATCAAGTGCTTTGCTCAGACAAAGAAAAAAAATGTGATCTCTGTGATAAATTAATGAATACGCAGTGCGCAGCATATTTACGGACATATGTGATTCAGTCTTCAAGTCTTTTGGGACTTGGCTACGTTGGCATAGATGCATGCCACTGCATATCTTCCAGCTAAATTAAGCGTACATGTATAAAATCCATCTGTAATAAAATGTATGCACTGTGTGAGTATTTGTCTCTTGTTGTTAGATAATGAAAAACGCTTCCTTCGAGACACTGGCAGAGAAAAGAGCAAGCAATTAGAGGAAGTGAAAGGAGAGGGAGACACGCAGAAGGAGAGAAAGCAACAGAGAGCTGTTTGAATGTGATTAATGAGATCACTGCAGGGTAGGCTGTGTCATTGTAATAGTCTGAGCAGGGAAGAGGGGAAAAATAGACTGGCAGAAAGAGCTAGAGACTAAGACAGAGGAAGGGACAGAAAGAAAGAGAAATGAGAGGGAAGAAGAAAAGAGAAACCAAACGAGAAAGGACACCCGGCCGACCGACCAGGCTACATTTAACTCGCTGCTATGAAATAAGGGCGAATGGGACAGAAAGAGAGCGAACCGGGAAGGCTGAGAAGGAAAAGCAGATATAAAGCTTGGATGAATGGAACGGCAGGGGCTCTCAGTCTTAGGTTGGCCTTTTAACAGTGAAGTGTTTAGAGAAGCCTGGACCAGGTCTGGCAGATAGAGAGGCTTGTGCGCTTAAGACAGTCATGAAAGGCACAGCCTGCTCCTGCAGGACGGGGCTGCCGCTGGCCGCCTCTTTATCTGGCTCGGGGTTAAGAACTGAGCCGGAGGGGGTCAAGTAGAGGCCAGGTTCCGAAAGGTCACACAGACATCCTGCCAGTCCACAACTCCGTGAACAAGCTGGTCATTAGCTAGACTAGAGAGATGGTTATGGTGATTAAACACCTACTTCCACATGCAAACACCCACAGTCTATCCATACATTCAAGTCAACACAAAGCACAACCATTGAGGATCTTCCAGATTTAAAATGCCCCATTTCTTTTGAAAATAACAGTAACTCTAGAAAATAGTTTCTACATATACAACAGAGGCCTTAAATCTTCAGGCTCTGTTGAAGTTCCTTATAGATGTTCAGCAGCAGTCAGAACCCCTGCTGATCAGAGGGTATCCCCCACAAAGCAGGCCTTCGCACACCTCTCTACAATATTTACTGGTCATCCCATCTTTCTCGAGAGGTTGGAAAGAAACTTGACAGTCTCTCTGTGAGCTGCCATCCACAGATGCCCGAGGTCCAGATAGTGCCAAAATAAAATTTACCTCTATTTGCAGCTTTTCAGATGGTGTCGGTTTGATTCAGCCTCTCTGTTGAAGTGCTACAAGTTGTGTTTGGAGGGAAAATGTTCTTTTACTAGCAAAAGCAATTTCTGCAGGCTATGCCAAGCTCCCAGCTGTTGCCGGTGGGTAAACGGAGGCTGTGCTGATAGTTTAATATGATTAAAAAGACTGCCGGCAATCAAGGAAGGAGCGTCCTGAAGATGGCTGTAATAGATACAGATTGGCAGCTGCCATTTCAGCTGAAATGATACTTCGGTCTTCGTGCCACTTGTCATTTTGCCATTCTTCTTATTCATGTTAGTTGCCTGCTTTCCTAACAGGTGTATGGAGTATGTTGGTTTTCATTTAATTTTAAACTAGACAGACAAAACAAAGACAATGCATTAACAATGGAATGCAATTATTTGTTTTGTGTGGGATTAATTACACCACACCATTCAATCTGAAACAAAGTGAAGCAAGATTTATTATAGAAAGTGTTCAGTGAGAAACAATTTGCGGCATGATGATTGGAAACAAATTCTACCTGGTGGCAATTGTGACAGTTCTTTTCACTTGTAATTGTATTTCTTTTCATGTCAGCTCAAGGTTAATGCAAGTCATGCAGCGACAATGGAGATGTTTAATAAAGTCATTAAAATGATTAATTCTTTGTGGTTTAAGGTTGGTTATTGCAATCACATAAGAAAGCACAAAAGACCAACTGTAAAAAAAAAAAAAAAACAACAGAAAGTTGTTTATAAAGTGAAGGGAACAAAATTAATTTCCATATTATGTTTCATGTATCAAGATATTGAGTGTGTGTCAGTGCGTGTGCGTGTTTTAGAGGATGCAGGTGGCAGGACCCCTCAGTTCTGTTCTCAGAGTAATTTGTACCCCTGGGGGAACAGGATGGGCTTCTATTCAGTTGTTGCCATGGGCCTCAGCTGTTGCTAGGGGCATCATCCTCAATGCTAGTTAGTCTCTCTCCGTCTCTCCCCACAGTTGTCTATTTGCATGTCTGTCTATCATTTTGTCCCACCATCTCCGTCCTTTCACACCTGTTCCTCCTGTCTCCTTTATCTCTATCCTGGTATTCTCCTCCATTACCAGGTAGACAACCCAGCTTGGCTACAGCAAACACAGAACTCAAAAACTGGAGAACAGAGTGGCAATAAATCTGCTCAGCTGATCTCCCGCTTCCACATGAAAAACCAGGCCAGGCAAAGCCAGGCCACACCAAAGCAGGTGAGCAGCCTCTGGGCCGACAGACCAGACAGGCAAAGCTCTCAGATCACATTTCCTCTGAGGGCGACCATTCCAAGGTCTAATTCTCTGAGGCTCATTGCCGGGCGAACAGAGCATGGTGAGAGAGGGGTCGGAGGGAGGGGGGTGTTTGACCACTTGTCCACCAGGGCCCTTTAGGAGCAGCTGCCTGCATTTACAAGCCTTTCAAGTCGGCAATACTTTATGCCCTATGATCAGCTGCTAACCCTCAGTGACACCGCAGTGGTGTCTGCACAACACACACAACCCTGCTAATATTCAGGCCAGTTTGGGAGCCATGTGAGGTAGCCATGCACCCGCTGCTACTTTAACCAGTTCTACGGGACATTTGTCCAGTTAAACACCTGAACCACCCTTTTAAGTAGTCCCCTTTAGCTACAAGGCACATCATCCAAACCAATTCCTGATTATTCACCAGGGCATGATGAGAAGAAAAGCAGCACATCATGTGCTGGAACACATTTTTTTCTCCTTTCCATCTGTGGTTCACTGTTAATACGATCCAAAACTAATCAAAATACTGCAGGAAATACTATCCTGAAATTACTGGAATAATTGGTGTTTTTATAAGACAGATATATTTTCATGTCAACCCTTCACGACTCAATTATACATTATAGAATTTGATAAATAAACCTATATAAACCTTAATAGCTTTGTTGAATGTAGAACGCAGGAGAGAATTCCTTCTGGGAATGTATTCCTTTGGTCCCAGGTTCAAGAGCTCTTAACCCCTGCTGTTCTTGTGCGAGAACTGGGATGGAGGATGTGCATTCTTACTGCCTGTGAATTGACTCTGATTAACGGGGGGGGATCCTGAATCTGCCTCTGCTGAGCTTGCTTTAACCTCCCCATTCATCTATTGCTGCGGTGTCTTTCAACATCCAATTTTACATGTGCAGCCGTGCCCTCCATCTCCATCTATATCAAAGCCAATGCTCCCCACAGCTCCTTTCCCTTAATGCCGTCGCTGATTCCCACCAATCCCAGTCCCCATGTGGGATATGTCTGTGCTCAAGCGCAAAGTGAACCACACACAGCCAATTCCAATTTAGATGATGCAATTCTTGGGTAATGTGTATCCAGAATAAACTGCATAGCAGATCGCCTGTCTTTATAATTTGACCCACAGAGCCCCATAGCAGTCTTTTGGTCTCTGGGTACATGAGCATGATAACTTGATGATGGAGCCTGATGTGTATAATCTGCAGTCTGGTGAGTAGGAATGTAAATTTATGTCTAGAATTTAAATAAGACTCATGAGTGAGCTCTTCCAATAAGTGGACTAAGGGTTTAGTTTTAGTTGTGCATGGAACTGGTTTCACTGTAGCAAGAAAAAGTTCATGAAAGCCTGGAATACTGACAGTTCCCTATAGCAGCTTTCTGCTGAGGTGAACATCTACTGCCCTCCACATCAATCACTACCTCCAAGGGTGCCACCCAGAAGCCCACAACCAATTTCTGAAAGCCTCCTAACACTGAGGCTGCACATGTAACACAAAACGGCTGTATGATAGTGCTGGAATTCACTGTATGTTAGGATTGAGAATGCTCCACCTTCACAAAATACAGATTTGCGCATTTGATCCAACGTCACACAGAAAAATGTGATCACTTAATGCCCTGCACACACCCTCAGACAATACTGTATGTGCCTCACAGATGTAGTGTTGTTTCCTGCAGTCTATCACACTGTATATGCATTCTCCTCACCTTAGTGTCTGCTTACTCCCCCACCCTCTTAACCCCTCTTCCTCAATCAATCCTCTACAAAAGCCTGCCACAGGCAGCGATATCCGCCAACACCATCCCTCATGCTTTGCCATGCTCCAGCAAAGCCCAGGAAACAGCAGCATATACAGGAGCTGGTCTGCAGGGAGAGCGAGAGGGAGGTGGAGGGAGGGAAGGAGGAGCGCGATTGAATGGGGAAGCGGTAAATGGAGGGATGGGGAGGGGGGGACTCTTTGGGAAGGGAGCCAATCCAATTACAAGCAGCGGTGCAGTCCTGGTTTCTTTGGCGGCACTAAATTCACATTTCAACGGTCTCTTCCTCCCTCCCCCAGTACCTTCTTCCTTCTCCTTCTATCTCTGCTACTCTGTTTTCTTATTTTTTCTCATCACGGCTCACACTCACACCCTCTAACCGTACATCCCTGCACACCACACCCCTCCTCTTCCACATCTGTCTGTCTCTCTTGGCTGCTTGAAAGAGGTGAAGGCATAGAAGTGTATCACCAGCAAAGCATCAAATCTTGTCACCCTAGCTGTGTCATGCTCAGATCTGCAGGAAGCTTGCAGCATCTTACTCCATCTACGTGTCTCACACACCTCTGTGGGAGCTTATCAAGTCTCTGCAGAAGAGCTGCAGCCGGGGCTCATCAGGTCACCCTATCCCTCTACCCTCACCGTGACACCTGAGGGAGTGAATGGATAACACTCTCAGCGTAAACAATGAATATTTCAGACACTAAAACACATGCACACACCTTAACGTCACAGTCCTCTTCCGAACACTGCTGTTATGCCGCATTATTGATTATTCATTTGCTATTTAACCCTCTGAACTCCAAAACCTACTGGTGGGAGACAAAACAGGAAGAGTCTTTGTTTTAACAATTTTCCAACTCTCCTTGGACTACTCATCAGTAATGTAAATTATAAAAAATGTATTTTATAATGAGCCAAAATGAACCTCTTAAAGTAACCAAATTCTGTAAAAACGAAAAATTCGGCACTTCTCATTGCAAACAAAAAGCCATGACTAACTCAGATGTAACCAACAGAGACTTTTCGGTTGAACTGGGCTGAACTGCAGGCTGTGTTTTCACAGTAGATAAATAAAACAATAAAAGTAAGTAATCATTTTTTCCCCAAGTATTGAGAACCCTTGTGGGCACCAAGAAAAATGCAATACACCTTGACTTCCTTTTTTCTTTTTTTTCCTTTTTTAAAAAAAAAACATTTATGGCATTATAATTGTGTTATCCTGCACATAAGACATGTTTAAGTTCTGGCTACTTCTAGCCATAGCTGTAGGTGCAGGAATTTATATTTCATCAAAAAATGAGCCCACAATGAGTGAACAGAGCAATAAATGCCCAGAAGCTGCTTGGGGTTCAGAGGGTTATAAAGTAATACTTTTCTTTTTCTGCGCTGCTGCAGACTGCAACAGTGGATAGGCTAATTGTGGTCATTCTCTCTTTCATGCACATTAGGTGAGCAGCCAGAGCTTATTGAATCATGGGCTTCATGCAAACCACGGCGTCTCCTTGTCCAACAACGTACCTGTATGCAAATCTCTGCACAGTACTGGCGGTGCTCTCTCTCTGTCACGTGAGCTCAAACAAATTGGGTTCAAATAAAGTCCAGCAAACTCTTGCTTCAGCAAGCAATGCAACAATAAAATGCACGTACAAAATACAGAAATAACAAACCTCAGTTGACAGTACAAATGCAGTGTCAGTTTGGGGAATCTCACTTAGAAAATTGTCAATATTTGATTGTGGTATGCTGACGATTTCTCTCTCCTACATCATCCAAATACATATTTTTGATGTCTACTGTAAGGGCACTCTAAGGCAGCAGTCTTCAACCATTTTTGTACAACGGACCAGTGTTAGGCAAGAAAATCTTCTAAGGACCGGTCATTGCGCACATGACGAAAAATTATAGTTTTTTCTATTATAAAGTTTCATAAAAGAACAAAATTCCATGCTAAATATGTATTTACTTTTTCTTTTGTCTCATTTTCGAGTCTCTCCCACTTTTCAGAGAAGCTCTCCTGAGACGTTTCTTTATTATTTTTTTATTAATTTCGGCAGCTGTTAGACAAACGGCTTCGTTTAACGGCCGGGCATGTAAACTGACAGAGTCAAGTGCGGGAAACAAGCACAGACAGAAAAGACAGGAAGACGAGCTAGTCATTTTTCAAAATAAAACATCCTTCACATGCCGCTGGAAATAAAAATAAACAAATAAAACATTTTTTATTGCTTCTGTGTAGCCTGGTACCAAATGACAAACGGCCCGGTACTGGTCCACGGTCCGGTGGTTGGGGACCACTGCTCTAAGTGATTCAGAATATTTCCACAAAGTTGAAACTACTTTCATTTTTTAATCTAGGCTACTTCACAGTAAGAGGATGATCCCTAATTATGATGGCAATAAATCGAACGATCGGAAGACTCATTAATGGGAAATGTGCTACATTTGGTGAAACTGGTATTACTACTTTATTCTCTCTGTCATCGGATCACGCTTCATGGGTGAGTGCTCTATGAGGTTTTTTTCTGTTCCGGCCACTGGACCGTGGTTGTTTTTCTCTAGGTGCTGCTCTCATATCCTGGTTAATTCCTCCCCCATGTTAGCGTTACTGTGGTTACAGTCATGCCCCTGTGAGGAGCCAGTCTGAGTACACAGCAGCACGCAAGGCTATTTTACATGGATTCTCAAACAGGGGGCAGGAGACGAGTCAGGACGGAATCGGGGGAAGGCAAGCTTTAGCTACAGAGAAGAGTGGGGAAGGAAGCAGCGAGACAAAAACAATATGCAAGCAATGGCAACACAGTGGGGAAAACACTCCTTTCTGTCTCATCTAATTTACCCGAGTAGAAAAAGCCTCTGAATTATTAAACAGCTCAAACAGGGGATTACATCAAATAAATATTCTCTCCACCATAGCCTGATTGGTGAATTGATTTAATAATGAATAGATGGAGACATAAATAACTCAGGCCAACACCATTTGTGTTGCATTGCCAGACTTGAAATAACAAAGAACTTGCCAAAAGGGGTATCAAAATGGTCTTAGCAACTCTCTTTCTGTTTCAGTCTCCTTCTCTGAGCTTTGTGCAGCTGCTATTAGTTGGGGTAGAGGGGGGGGACTGGATGGCTGCATGAGCCAGTTATGGCCCTGTGACACACTCTTGCTGTCACTCAAACAGCCGGCCCCCCGTGGGACGTGGAGCCAGGTGAACGTTGACATCCTTCAAACGGTTGTCTAAATGCAGTCTAGAAAGCGAGACAAACAACTGTTGTGACAAAATGTGCCCACACAATCACATTTGATCTACAAACAAACATGGCATTAACATTCTAGCATACGATCATCTAAGTACGAGCCGTCTGGGGTGCCAAAGCAGTGCAACAGCTGTGCTAAATTAACCAGCAGACATTTTTTGATTGACAATCAGACTCCTCGTCCTTCATCCCTGAACCCGAAGCACAGCACTGACTTTTCTCACTATTTAATCCTGACAGTGAGCAGTCCCATCTAATACCTTGTTTCCTGTGGCTGGGGTGTGAAATCTATCATTATTAACTGGCCAGGAGCCGTAAACCCTCTGTGGCGTCTGTATTCTCTCGCCAAGATTCGGAGGTTTAGTGTATGGGCCGGCTCTCTCTTTTTTGCTCTCAGTGAGCCACAGGCAGAAAGGTGCCCATTAAAATTAATGGGTCAGTGCAGATTATTCAACACTGTAACACTGGAGCTCACTTAACAAGTAACTGGTAATGGCCACTACAGTGAGCTAACCACTGCCATCACCCCTCCCTGACACTTTGACAGCAGGCATTAAATATTAAGGAGATAAGTTTGCCTGTGACCATGATCCATCTGCACCGAAATGGGACCCCTTCACAGTGTCTATACCCCATAGACCACTGGACAGCCTGAGTCCCGACGTAACAGTAATGAAGTGAGCAGAAATCTCCTACAAGAGGCCTTTAACTGCTGGATGAGGAAAGGATAGACGGTGGTACTCACCTTCTTCAGACGTCCACTCTTGGTTCCCACAAAAGCTACACAGTAGCCATTGTAGACGTAGGAGGTCACGGAAGTCATGCGATCTCGAGTCTCGGTGTAGAGAGTGTGGCCGGTGACCAGCTGAGAACCGCCAAGTGGCTGGTTGATGTCCAGACCGCAGAAAGAGTCATCAATGGGCACTGGCTACAGATAGAAGAAACACAGATGTTGTAGCATTAAATAAAGAAATGACAAGGGCAAAATGGACACTGAAACAGAGAGAGGGAAAAACAAGGTGATCATGACTCTGAGACAAATGTGTCATATCAAACACAGACACCCATGAAGCGTACTTTAGGAACGGGGAGTGACAAAAATATGCCAGAGAGAGACAGACTTGGAGAATCAGGGTTTAGTAGAGAGGAGAGGCTGGGATGTAGAGCATCATAAAAGTAGACAGCTCAGTAAGGAGCGAAGATGAAGGTGACACAGTGAGACACAAGGAGAGAGTGATGGCCAAAGTTGTGGAAATAGTGGCGGAGTCAAAGGGTGTCAGAGATGGAAATGAGGGGGTGAGAGAGGTGAGCCTCACAGAGAGACGAAGGACAGAACGAGGCGGAGGCGCGCAAGTGAGTCTCCCAGCCAGGCAAACGTTTGTCTTTCTGTTACGCTTGACAGATATGTATCAGCTACACCTGACTGAGCTCCACCTTGCTCTCACTGTGGTTCATTACCCTGGCCTATCATCACACCTCTGCAGGAAGACACACACTGCATGATAACTCTGTGCATTGGCAAACACCCTGCGTGATAACCATGCAACACTGAAATATGGCTGTAACTGAAGAGGCTGCAATGAACTCTATTTACCCATTCATTAGGAAATAATCACTACCATAAAGTCTCATTAAATTTAACTTCAGTTCTTAAGGAAATGTGGCCATGATTATATACCTCATAACAACTGCTAGGAGTGGAGACTATCCGCCTTCCAAGATAAGTACAAGAAACAGAGCAGGACAATACAGGAAAATAGGAGGAGGTGAATGAGAGGCAAGACAGCGATCTTTCTGGTGTTGAATCAGGTCAGCTGACACTGTCAGTGGCAGTGGCCTCAATGTGCCATGTGGAGTAAAGTGAGATGGCCAGGCAAGCCTCCCATGTATACATCCCATATAGTCCCTTGCTCACAAACTTTGTCTTATTCACCCTATGAATACACATCCCCTTCATCTGACCCCGACTCATTAGTTTTCTTTCTGTCACTTTATCTACCTCTCATCTGTCTCCTCTCTTTGTAGCTGTCAGAATGGAACAAGCAGACTATGCTGAGTGACACTTCCCACTCTGGGAGGCAGCTCAGTCTCTCACTACACACAGTGGCTATAAAACCTTTCTACACAGATCTTCATGAGCAGAGCAAAAGCAATAATGCTGACGGGGAATAATCGCCTCCGCTCGTATAGTCACGCCCCTCGCTTTATGGCATTTCCTTTTATTTCCTTTGCCCAAAATAGCACAGAGTGCTATGGGGTACTGTACTGCAGTATTTAAACTAGAAAAAAAATCTGGTGCAATTGCATTTTTTTTTCTCCTTTGGTTTTAAAATCAAATGTAGTGTATGTAACTGTATAGAGCTTGTTTTGAACATACGCTGATCAGACATGGACACATAATGAATCAGATGGGAAAGCTAGCAGCTATTGTGAAGAACAGCAATGAGCTCCAGGCTTTGGCTTATCAATAGCTACATCCTCAAAATCATGCAGCTATTCCACATATGGTCTGCTGGGCTCTGCACCATTTGGTTCTGATTATATCTAGATTGTTCAGATGATGTACGCTTAGCAGACTTGGCAGACAACTGAAAATCCCCCTGGGCTCCATGTGGTTGAGCTTTACTGTTCACCTTCTTGCCGATTTTGTTTGCTTCTTCCCCCTGCCTTATCATGAATTTCACAAGTAGTGAAGAAATGCAGAGCTAAATTACAAGAGCTCTCTTCGACGGGGCTAAGCTGTAGTGAGACTAAATATAGACTGTAGCCTTGCGTGATTAATCCTTATTGAGCAACTCACAATACAGTGTTGTATTAGATCTACGCTGAGAAAATAGTTGCTCTATTTCACTACGAGGACGTTCTTACATTGACAGATTGGTCCATTTGCTGTGGAATTTGAATGAAGGGTGAACTAGATGTCATCGGATATCTGCTCTCAGAGTTTCTCCTTTAGGGTATACCAGCGTTATCAATACTTGCTCCCCTTTGCTCTCATGACTGGTTAATTAGTTGGTAGGGCATGAGCAAAAAAGCAAGACAGCAAGATAGTGTTAGTCAGAGAAGAGGCAGACACACAGACAGCCTGATACAGAAAGAATCCCATCATGGCTCTCCTCCATGGGATTGACTACAGAGATGGTGTGAATCTCCAGATGGCAGAAGGCTGGATGGCTGGGTGATAAATCTTTGATTGGCTGCTGTGTCTGAATCCCCTGGCTCAGCCTCACTTCCATTCCCAGCCTCAGCCTCAGCCTTGGCCTGCATGTAAGCGTACACACGGCGAAATGTCTGCAAGAATGAGAGCTGGGGGTATAATTAAGGTTCTCTGCTTTGAGCTCACTGGCTACCTGCTGTTAGCAACAGACCAGAGTAAAGGCACCAGGGCTGCATGTGTAATTTACTCAGAAACCAAGCGAGGTGCAGTTAACAGTTAACAAAAAATAAAGTCTCTAGAGTTGGTCCAACCTTGAGTCACCTCATACTTTGATGGCCCTCAAACACGAAGTCTCTAAAAATACCACGCAGAGAGGAACATACAGACAGGTGATAAATTAAAGGAAAAAGCAACATAAAGCATCTTAGTAAGGTGTTAGGCCACTAACAGCACAGCTGCAATACACCTCAGCACTGATTCTACAAGTCTCTGGAACTGGAAACGGGATGAACATTATTCTTCCAAAAGAAATTCCCTCATCTGGTGTTTTGATGATGGTTGTGGAAAATGCTCCCATAGGTGTTGCGATCTGGAGTTGAGATCCAAGGGGTGCACTATGAAAGTAATTCCACAAAGGCTACAACCCCAGTCAGAAATGATAGGCATCACTAGAGTGTTTATCAATTTTTTGTGTTAATTAAGGATTACTTCTTTATAATTGGGGTGTTTATCACGTCTTCTTCTGCACAAAATGGATCGATTGTGTGTCGCCTACTTCAGTCCAGAGCAACAGGTAGTTAAAATTAAGAGCAATGAAGAATTTAAAAGATATACTAAATAAATATTAATTATGAAAACCGTGGTTGAAAATGATGCCAGAAATGAATGCTGGTAGAAAACTGTTAATCATGTAAATTACTATACTTATTTATAACATGACAGCTGCATGTTAGAACCCTCAAACTTTAAACTACATTTATTTAAACATGATTTTTGAAGTAGTGCAGTTTGATCTAACCCTGTCCCACAATGAAGGAGATATGGAAATCACTTTAGTTTTTTGGTCACATCAAAGTTAAATTAATGTTTCTGATTAAATATTCTCAATGGTAAATACCAATTTTCCTATCCAAATACCCATACGGGTTTTGCAATCTGTGTTCTCTTAGCTGCAGTAGCAGCAGTGTAAAACCAACTTGAAAGCAAATCAGGATAAAGCATAAAAATGTATTTTGTCATTTTCTGCATGACCATTTAAATACATGTAGGTTCTTGTGGCAATGCAACGGATACAGCGTGCAATAATGTAACAGCAGGGCTTCAGTCGGAGGAATTACTAATGTACAGCTCAGCAGCTTTTGCAGGTACAACATTTTCCCTCAGCTGCGAATCTGTGTCACTCAGAGAAAATCATCAGGAGACAAACCGCTAAAAGGGTGGCACTTCTTAGGGCGGATTTAAATCCAAACTCTGAATCCATTCGGAGCAGTTTAGCTGTGCAGCATCAGTTACCATGGTGATGAAGCAATTTTAAAGGCCATAGCATTTGATCCACATCATTCATATTCATTAAACCATTCATTGACCCCTTGTGCCCTATGGATGGAGGCACTGTCATCCTGAAAGACACCACTCCTATCATTAAAGAAATGTTTCATCATTGGATAAAGGTTATCTCTCAGAAACATCTTTGTATTGATTTGCAGTGATCCTTCCCTCAAAGGGGACCAGTGGACTCAAATCATGGCAGCAAAACAGGCATAACAGCTACTGGGTCCTCTCACTGTAGGGGTCAAGCATTTAGGTCTGTACTGTTCCCTCAGTGTACACCACACAGGCACTTTTCTTCCCATCTGTGTAGACCAGAAACTATATTTTTTGCACCACTGAACTCTCAAATGTGCATTCATTTTTTGTAATGAGGGGTTTATGCAGTTCAACCCTACTATAATATCCCTCTCTATGTAATTGCCGATGGACTGTTCTTGCTGACACAGTCTGACGAAGAGATATTCTGCTGTTTCCCCTTACACATCGCACGAATGCACAAGCAACACAGTCATCAAATGTGCACTGCTGACCACAATTTCTGGCCCTATATATTGACATCTTATTCAGATCTAAACACAAACGTCTGGTCCTAGTGAAACACTAGCCAGCTGGGCAGTCTGCGACTGAAGCTCCTGCCATTTGTGTCCCAACGATGACCCAACTTTTAAAGTCACCTAAATCTTTTTCTCATGTCATCTTGATACAAAATCAGAATCAACTGGACCTACTCAGCATTTTTACACATGCCACAGAGCATGATTGGATGTTAATTGCTTAATTATACCATGCAGTGCACCTGTGTGGAAGCATCTGCATCCGTTGGTTTTCCCCACTCATTTATTCAGTTTTTGTTTTTTTTTGGTTTTCCTTATTTATCTCGATCATCTGCATTTATTTAGGAAAGACAAGATGTAAAGCATGTGACCTCGAAAGCAGCCACACTGCTTGAGTTGGGGAATTAACATCAAGCAGACAATGTCAGCACGGTTGGCATGTCGGGGTGCTAAATGTAATTTGTACAGGTTTTAAGAGTTATTCATCCTTTGACATGTATCTGCATAATCCACATGATACTATGGATTTATTGGCTGCTCATTGAGCACGGGCGCACGGTCTTAACGACTGTATTTACATCCTCTTATCTGTGCGGCTAAACACGCAAAGCTTGTGTATCCTTGGTGTATAATGTGAAAGGAGAGCAGAATGATATTGGCATTGCAAAGCTGAAGTATGGAGTGGGAGGTGCAGTTTTGCAGGTAACAGCTGGCAACCTTCAGTGCACACTGAGATGATTGGGGATTTTGCTGGGAAACTGGAAAAATGCTTCTAATTTGAGCTCCCACAGTCAAAAAGGCTCCCAACCTCAGCACTGTCATCACTATATATCAACATTTCTCCTTCTCCTGCTTCTTACAACAATCTTCCCCCCGCCTAATGAAACACAACAGCTAGTTCCAGATAATGTCTCCCTCCTCCTGACAATCACCTCTGACATTGTGCTAATGGGGAATTTACTGATTTTAATAAGAGTGGTCAATTGAGTTCCCTGAGGGGATTAGCAACAAAAGAAGCTAATCAGTGGTTCTCATCATAGTGAGGGATGTGGATATCATTATACGCTCCACATATGTAAGCCTTTCCTATGTACATGCAGACATACAGCACACACACACACAACTGACTAGTCATACACTTAGCTAGTCATTAATTCTTAATATTCTTAAATTCCTATTAGCAATTACAGAATGAAAGCACAGAGGACCGCAGCCTCCTGGGAATGAGGGAAAATCAAGAAACTTAATTCTACTTGACAACATGTAACAGATACATGGCCTTGTATTATAGGATAATTGGGGATTTCAGAAGAAAAAGACTAGTGTGTGATCTACGCCAACATCAGAAGCAGAGTAACTTCAGCAACATCCCCCCCACACAGTTTTTTTCACTCTGGAAGGGGAGAGTGTTTATTTGTATTGTGCTCGAGGAGAATGTTATCACTTTGATGGTTGCCGAGAAAAAAAAAAAAAAACTTCCTAATTTATGAATATCTCTCATTGAAATATACTTGAAAGTGGAAGTTCTCTGATACCAGAGCTACAAAACAATTTGACATAATTACTTGTAGTGTGAGAGCATGCTATGTTAGATAGTCAAAAGCATTTCTGGAAGATTGTTGTATTTATTTTCAGTACAGCATATGCACTCAGAACTCACTGTGGTTTCACTGGGAAGTGTTGGTCAATTTTACTGTTTACCATCATATTTAAGTAATAGAAACCAGATGTCCGTGTTGTCGGACCACTGAAGAATTTTGACTTCATTAATATGTAGATTAATGGTTCTCCTATCTCTTTTTTTGGGTTGTGGGCTAATTAAACTAAGAGAGAAAAAAATGAAATAGGATAGTGATCCTGCTTCATCTTTAAGTAGCTACAGATGTGCAAGAAAGAACTGTGTAAATAATAATTTACCAATTTCCCACTTTTGCAATTTCCCAGTGAAAACAGTTCTGGACTGTTGATGATTAATGTGTCTTCAGTAACAGTATTGTAGCCACTTGTAATTATTCCCACACTGTGGGTGAGTGGTGAGCGCAAACCGAATGTACAGCACAGTATGAATATGTTTTTAATAAGCATTTACCAACTACTCACCGCTTTGGTGCATTGCACATCCTTCCCAAGGAGCCAGTTGAGTTCCAGGTTTCCTTCTCCCTGGTAGCAGGACTGCAGGCGCTCCTTAATTCGTGCGTTGATGTCTCGAATGGTGAAGACACAGAGCGCTGAGTCATCCGGCGGACGATGGAACTGCTTCTGGCCCTTCGAGAAGATGGTAAAGAGCACGTCGTCTTGGGCACTGATGTTGAGAGAGGCAGCAAGCACTCGGCCCGGCTTGCCGAGGTAGGCAGCCTGCAGTAGCCGATACTCAATGCCATTCTTTACACAGCCAACAGGCAGGGAGACATAGGAGTGAAACTTGCGGTCATCTTTGCAGAGGCGGACGATGCGGGAAGTGTAGAAGAGATCACTGCTGGATCCGCTCGATGACATGCTGTTCTCCGGCGTCTCAGGTTGAACGGTCAGGAAGTAAACAAAGCTGCCACTGGCGAAGCCGTAAACATAGTAGATGTCAAAGTGGGAGACCAGTGCCAGCGTGTCTGATGGTATCTTGATGAGGGAGGACACAAAATCAGTGTGCAATTCATAGTCGAGCATAGCAGAAGATTCAGGGTCACGGGGCAACTTTCGACTGGAGATAGTGGGAAAGTAGTCCTGTTTGCCATCTACTGCCGTGCCAATGAACAGGGTGCCATCCTGGCCCTGCGAAGGCACAATGACCCCATACATGGTCCCAGTCTGGTTGACACTGGAGAGGTAGTGCTCTTTTTTGTGGGAGGGCTCCACTAAGATAAACAGGTCATCCAATCTGAGGAGTTTACAGACACCCTGGTAGAGGCTGCCACAGGCCAGCAACCGATTTTGGGAATAATCAATAAGCAGAAGCTTGTTGACATTGTTGGTAGAGACAAGAGGCTCAGAACAGGGCTGGACAATCAGAGGGGGGTAGCAGGCCTTGTTGTCATCCTCAGGGCCTGTGTCATGGGAAACAAGGAGGGTCAGGTTGCCTGAGAGCTTGTACACACGGTTGACCGCTCCGATATATAGTGCGCCTGTGGTTTGGTGAACTGTCAGATGGTTGAACACCCAGTCCCGACGTTCAGGGTGGAAACTAGTGAAAGTCTGCCCGTTGCACAAGACAGGGATTGCTAAGAGCCAGAAGTGTAGAGTAGCTATTGCTCCCAATTTAGGGTTAGGTGATAAAGTTCTGCGTGTCACATGCCGGCCCTCCATGTTTGACGGGCCTGTGAGGAAACTGCCGAGGGAGCAGAGAGAACGGATGATAGGAAGAAGGGAGGAGACCTTCGCCTTTTTGTTGTTGAAGGCTAGCTTGCAGGTCAAAGCTTCACAAGGGTTCTCACATCTTTCTGGAAAAAGAGAAAAAGAGACAAACGGGAAAAGATGTTAGACATCCCAGCATGACTCACATATGACACAAAGGATACTCATCACCAAATGTAAAAGGCTGTTGCTAAGTGAAAAGGTATAAAAAGGTCAACTTGAGTGAGGTGAGGAGCTGTGGAGAAGGGGAGTGGAGATTTAAAGAGACAATGGGCGGAAATCATTATGGTGCACATTCCAAAGGAGTTACTGGACAGGGCAAGACAATGCAGGAAAGAGAGGCAGGTTACAGCAACGGAAATTAGCCTGACCTGACTCATACCAACACTGCTGCTGTCACACTCTGAGCAAGCGGTTTCTAAGAACAGAACAACAGCCGACGCAGACATTGCCCACAGAAAACCTTGGACACTTGGCAGTGATTCATTGCAGCCTAAGTCAATTTAAATAGGGCTTGAAGCCTCTGATGCTATTTTATACCAAATGTATAGCTAAGTTATATTAGCACAAAGCATGACATAAATTTAGGGCCTGTTATATTTTTCATACATTTACCTATAAAACAATGTTGTAATGAAATCAGGCTCTGAAAACCTTTTATTGACAATAATATTAGTGGCCATACCATAACCATAAATGTGACTTTTGATTAAAAATCCAACAATAAATGTCAGACCAGAGACATTAGCACACTGCTGAACTGCGTGTGCTCTCTTATCCTTAATAACATCAGCCACCTCATTTAATTTCCACAGTTACCCCATTCCTCACATTTTTACACTGACTACAGCCCATCAGCTGACACCCCTATCAATTTCACCCTTTCCATATATATATCAGTAAAAACATATATCAGGCAAAGTCTGCAATTTATGCAACCATGCTGTAGAGATATCTCTCCATGTGCCATAAACCGAAAGATGGAGCTCTACGCAGTCTGTCCCCAGGAGTCAATTATCTCGTCCAATGGAAAAGAAGGCCTGGATCTTATTACTGGAACAAACTGAGAACAAATTGGAAGCCACTTCAACACACCCCTCCCCTGGCTTCCCTGCTCTTTAAGGGGGCCCATTTTACAGAATGGGAATCTATTAATTATTTTTTTCCAAACATTGCAGTTGTTTTTTTGTTGTTTTTTTTATTGTTGTTGTTTTTATTCTGGTTATCTCCTGCCGGCATGATCAGATCATAAAGGGATTAATCACTGGCGGCACAACAATCATCTTTAAATGAATCAGCCACCGTATTAGATCTGTACAGAACTGCCTCATAAAAGCACCAGCCAAACGGATATACAGTGTGTCGGTGTGTGTGTGTGTGTGTGTGTGTGTGCGCGCGCGCATGTGTGTGTGTGTGTGCCTCATTCCCTCAGTATTATCAGTGTACTCAATCAGAACCAAGCAGTGTGAGGGGCTAACAAGTGGAGAGAATGGCAGTGCATCCCAAAATCAAGTATGATTAGGCGTAGCGATCCAACAAGGGTAATTACTGTGGAGCTGGAGGAGGTAAGCTGGGGAGCGACATGGGGACGCCAGGGGCTTGAACGTGTCAGAGACGGCCCTACATCGTTTGTCACGCTCCAGATTTGCATTTCCAGCAGTGAGGGCACAGAGAATCAAGGGTGAAAGATGTGGCTGGAATAATCAGCGACTGCGCCTTGAATTAACAAGTACTCGCAACTGAAGATAGGAAACGACAGTTATACGGCGAGATACTGAACATCCACTATTATTACTACTACCGCGACTGTGTTCAAGGCAGGTTTGATTTGCAGAGCTGATTTGGGATTCCCTGTGAACCGTGTCAGCCCTCTCAGAGACCTCGCTCCAAATCTGGTAAGGGCCATCTCAGGGTCCCTCCCCACTCCCTGTGATCAACGATATGCTACACGGCTCAGTCCTCCACATGCACCCTTAGGGAGCGTATTGATCCACGTGTCCATAAACACAGGTCCTAAGGCCCAGTCAAGCTGTTCATGGTGTGTGTATAGGCGGAGGTGTGGGAGGTGCTCTGTCCCAGAAGCACTTTATTAGCATGGTCATAAAAGTGCCACTGCTTCTAGAAAAGCAGCGGAGGGCCAGACCCCTCCCTCACTTTCAGCTGCCTGCGTGCTGCCATGCTCCTTTGTTTGAGTTTGTACATGCTAGATGTGCAAAGTGGATCCCTTTGGTGGCATAATCAGCCTCTTGCTGAGCTAGCTTTTTGCTCAAGCCCCACAGCCTTTTGCCCTTTAGAGCTTTTGCTATACCCCACCCCTTAATCGTATATGTGTACACAACATTTACTCCCATCCATCTTTTCTTCCTCTCCTTTTTATTTTCTCTCCTCTTCCCCAGTCATTGGGACAAATATATGCATCAGTCCCTCATGTTGTGGCAACAGCTGCAGAGGCAGAGAAAGAAAGAGTGATTGAATGGTGTAAATAAAAGGCTCCAAAAAAGGGTATCCATTCATATTGCTTTCGGTAACACAGGGAATGAAGTCTTTGTTTAAGTTGATTGCATGACCAACTCTTTGTTGCACTTGACATACACTTCTCAGTATTATCCAGCTGAGGAGTAGACTTGAAAAGAATACGAACAACACCAGATCAGCCCTTCTGTTCTTTAGTTCAAAGCCATGTCTGTCTTTTGTTTATGAGGAGTCAGAATTACAGAGACGGAAATTAACATATAAATGCAAACAGGAGTGATTCATACTTAAACATAGTCACCTACTGACCTAGAAAAAGCAGAGGGCATGACTGTGGAGGCAGTGAATAGAATTACGGATAAGGTAGAGCAACGGCGGCGTTTTAGGCATTTGTTGCAAATGTAAGTCTGCTTTTAAAATTTTTCTGCCACCATTTACAGATGTTCACTATTTTTTGACACGAGTGCTGTGACTCTAAAAATATCTGAGTCTTGCTAGTTTCAGCAGAATTTCACCACATGATAAACAGTTGTCCGTCTGCCTGTGATAGCACCAAATACAACAAGTCCTACTTCTGAAATAAGCTGACGTATAGCAAGAGCGGCCATGGCACTGAGGCAGAAAGACGGACTGACCTGATGACAAACTGTCAGTTGCCCCAGTGTGTAACATCAAATCAGAATATGAAATGCCTAAAACAATATCCTCAACATATCATGGACATAGTTGATTTCCATTCTAACACTCAACGACAATCTCTATGGCAGACGTGGAAGACAAAAAAAAGAAGAGCATCAAGTCAAGAGAGACAGAAAAGAGCTCTCATTCCAACACACACGCAAGCTGTGATCATGGCTTGGAGAAAAGACAGCTTTTGCAAAACTTCATAATGAACAGTCAGACACACAAAACAGTGTGTTGGCACACTCAGCCAGGCTGCTTCTGAGTGCTTGTTAAACAAACTGGTCCCACTGGCTGCATGTGTGCTGTCACTGTGTCTGGTTGTGGGTCCCTTGCTGAAAAGCTGGTGATTTCCCCAGCCACTGGGCATGATGCAGTGACAATGCCAGCCGTGGTCAAAGGAACTGCATTGTGGTGAATTGAAAAGATGCTAAGCAGCATGAGGGATACACATGGAATGAAGAAATGAGAAACAGCAAAATGATAAGCTACGCAAACCATCATTGAGGGTTGTGGACACAACAGCCTGAGGGCAGTCCAGCAGCCAGCAGACTGACACAGGAGAGGATGAGCTTTAGGAAGTGGCCTCTGGAGCGGGACCAGTTCTAAACCTCTATCACCCTAGAATAGGCAGCAGGTCCTCTGCTTTTGTGCTTTTTTTTTTTTTCCTCTTTTTGTCCCCACATACTAAGCTTCTTAACAATGCAGCCAAATTTGCTTGATCTCCTAAATTCATATTTACAGCAATTGTATTGCAAAAGATAAAGAACATAAACCAAATCCGTTTACGGTGCTAAATCCATTGTTGTTGGATAAAAAAAGGAAATGGGAGATTGTAATTTCATGCCACGGATTAATGTGTTATTCCCTGAACGATTAATGTAAAGCGTGAAATCTAAATGCTTAAGTTAAAGTGATACGCTGTAAATCAAAGAGACAATTTGGAATAAAACACAACAAACTAGCTAGTCAAGAGAAGTGAAAGGTTTAGAATATTTAACATTTTGCTCATTGCCTGGCAAGCTTTTCAGTGGATGCGACCAATTGCACAGTAAAAATAGAAAGTTTAATCTTCCCTAAAGGGAGATCTTCTTCTATAGGAGCCTATAAAAAAGCATTAGCGGCAGAGGTTAGTCCATTAGTCTTCTCTCTTTGCTGCTATCAAGAGCAGAGATAATGAGAGGACTCACTGGCATGTTGTGTTGTTGAGCTGGAGTTATATTTATACATTCTTTTGTCTCAATAGGAAATGGATTTCTCTGCTCCAGTGCCAGTCCTATCTGTCAGCTTCCAAGAAAACTGTTCTGCATCCATCCATCCTTCCAGCCACCACAAGGAAATGACACAATAGCAAAGCAGAATAACACCCTCAGAAACCACAAGCCCTCCAGTAACTACTATCATTTCACTGTATGGTTTCCTGTGCTGTGGTGTTGGAGGTACTTGACTGTGCCTAATATTTCCATCAATCCAAATTCCATCACATTGGTGGACTCTAATAATCAATGAGGACAAAACTGCTGTGGCAGTGGTATCACAAAGGCTTGCTCATGACATCACAGCAGTCCAGACACTGATGTTGATCATTTAAATCCATCATCAATCAATTTTAAACTTGGTCTTTTCATGAACTGTGTTGTTTTTGTATTTCTTTTGGCATGTATGAAGCTCTGAGCTATGGCTAAAAGCTGCAATTTAGTGGTGCATAGTAAACTAATGCGCACTTGTCCACAATTAAGCATGTGCTCTAAGGGCACTCTAACTAAGCACTTTGGATTCAGTGTTTAATAGCACTATCTTTGTTAGTGACCCATATCAGTGCACTTGCTCAAGACCATCTGAGTTTAGATGCCTCCAGCGAGGCCTTCAATTGCATTTCATTGAATTGCACCCAATGAAAGCAGTCACAGAACTTAATTCTGCCTCAGT